TCTCTTCTCCTACCATCTCCTACAAGTCTTGCCGATCGATATTTCCCCGTTTCTCTCTTTACTACCCTCTATTCAAATAACGCGTTCCCTTCAAAACCTTTCACTTTTTGTTTCACTTGACAATTTTCGGTACTCTCCCTAAGAAATTTCACTTGAAAAATGAATTTACAGCATTTATTATTGATCGAGGTATACAAACACAGTGTTCAGATAATTACACTTTATCAACGTGCCCCCTAGTATCTTCTATATTAAATCAACACTGTGTATGTGAAAATTCACAAAGACTGCTGTCGAATACGTTATGAGAACACTATAGTAACAAAAATTCGCGATCAAACATCACAAGACAATAAACACATTCTATACATATTATCTATTATGTATATGTTATATTCATTATCCAGATCTCTTTTAAAAGATTAATGTAAAAATATCCAGAGCAAGGAAATGAGGACCCTCGTTCTCTCGTTCAAGCATTATGGGTGCGGAATAAAAAGAATGTCAGTTAATAATACACACAGCGGCAAGAATTTAATAGATACAATGAAGACCTCAATGAATATAAACGAAACCATTATCGAAGTAATGAAGAAACTTATTATGTTAATAAAAGCAATGAATTATGATTATATATAATAAGGAATTATGATTACGAGGATTAAGATAATTATGATTATTATATGGGGATAATGAATATGGGAATGATTTTTATAAATGAATACATGAAGAACAGAAGTAAGGAATACAAAATATCAAAGAAGGATAATTTGGGGACTAGCTATACACTAACATCAAAATTTAGAATCAATTTTGATTTATTGTTAGAAATGTTTCTTTGATAGTAGATCAATTTTGATTTATTATTAGAAATATTTCTTTGATAGTAGACAGTAAGCATCTTAAAGAATTCTTAATGTTTATAATCGAACAATACATCCAGACCTGGCCTAGTTAAAGAATGCATAGTTATTGTTCATGCAATTGTAAATCATTTATTCGCTTCTTGGAAGCTTATTTCTGTTTACTGTTAGGTATAAGTCTTCCTTCCATCATTCCACTTTCCTTAGTCCTATGTGAATTGTAGTCAGGTCACACCTGCGTTCTTGATGATATTGTCAACCCACCTTTGCTTGCAGTTGGATGACCGAAACTTATTTTCCCCACTTCTGGGGCCCCACCACTGTGTATAAAAAAAATAAAAGAACCTTATACTCCACCTGTCATTTCTTCTGGTCATGTGCCTTGTCCAATACCAATTCGAGTTTCATAACTCTCTTACAAACGTTTCGAACTTTGCTTTCAACGTAAGGATTTCGGTATTTGAAATTTAGTCTTGGGGATTTAATGTCAAGAATACACCTCTTTGCACTACTGTAACTTTTATTATGTACACAACTACTTGACTTCAGTGTTGTAACAGACATGTTGTAACAGACAGAGCAAATAAAAAATTGTATTGTTTATTTAGATATAAAATAGTACTAACTATTAGGTAGTTAAGTTAAGCACATTTTTATTTAAACGATCATAACTTTGAAAAATAGTCTTTTCTATGTCGAAATGACAAAAATTTTGTTGATACTCCGGAGATATATGAAAAATATTTCAATTATATTATATACGAATATTTTTCTCTTGCCTCTCATTTTTATTTCTTTTAACATTGTATATTTCACAGTAACTGAACACCGAATGGAAATTAATCGAACTGATGCACATTGCGATCGGACTAAAAATAAAATATTCAAATATTTAATATTGTAGTTAACTAAACTGTTATTAAACGAAAATCAATCGTTTAATATTTTTAACAAAATATTCAAGACAATGTCTCCGACACTGTTAATTTAAAAGTTTGATATTTTAACATATGAATACAAGGAATTAAAATAAATAATAATATTTAATATTCGACAAGACTTATAATAAAGACAAAATAAATGAATAAAAATAATCAAACAAAGAAATATGGTACAATAACAAATGATTATTGTTTGTTAATTCAGAGTTAACGTAGGAGTTTTATTGGAAATTTATACAGCAGTCTCTAACGTGACGTATGAGTTGAAAGGATTTAAGTTTCTAATGGAAGAATGCAGTTGATTCATCAAATAAAATGATTATCCGGATGTTACTTTCCGCAGACGGTCGAACTTCGTTTCCTTCTACCATAATTCGAGGAAATTTGCATCAACCCCAATGAATCACGGAGATTTCCGTCTAAATTTTCCTACCCCCTATTTTCCTGCGAAAGCCGAGGGATTAATAACTTCGTATTTGCGTAAACGCGCATGAATCTTCCTTCGCTTCCCTCTGTGTTTTTCCCTTTTCCCCTTGCGAAAGATTTATTTCCGAGTCGAGTTTCCTTTTCGTACAAATATCATGATATTAACGCAAAAAAAAAGTCCTCAGAGGGTGATTGCTAACTGAACATTTTATTTACATTTTATCCATTGTAAATAAAATCAAAATTTCATCCAAATAAACATACCTAAATATATCTTTAGAAAATTATTATTACAATGGAAACTAATTGGCTATCATCACAAATATATTATTTTTATAATTCATTTAAATCGATCAATTTGTATAAAATTATATTTAAAACAATCTTTTTATTATAATCAAACTTTGGTTATTAGCATTAATTTGAATAATTACACATTTGGGGGACAAACGCGCGCGATCAGTATTTTTATGATAATATTATTATAATAAATATAATAAATCATTGTTTTTTATTATAATATTATTATAATAAACATTCTGATCGAATAAATATTAATTATTTAATTGAATTCGATTTAATGTTATGAATACAATCCTATTTTTTATTAGGATACATAATAAATGTAATAAATTAAATAAGAATATTGACAACTTGCATTTTATTACATTGAAAATAAAATTATTCGAAAAAAGTAATAATGTAATTAATAAAAAAAAAAATATAATATAATCATTTGAATAACAATAAAATGATAATCTCATTCTCAATCAAAATAATCAGGACATTATGCAATTAACAAACGTCTGCAATTTATCCTGTACCAATTTAATAGAGAACAATGCCATTTCGATGTCGACGCACTTCTACTAATGGAAATTTCGATTGCTCTCTTTAGAAACGAATGAGGGTTTAGAACGGAAGTACGTGAGAGGAGCATCGATCATGCATCAAGTTCCGATTTTAGTGAAATATCGGTAGCCCATGTTCGGTAGCAGGGGATCATAATTGCATGACGACAGTAACGAACGTCATAATTAATTATGTCATTCATTAACGGTATCAAATAACATCAGGATGTTATAATATAGATCACGTAAACATATACGAGGTGTCTTGGACGGGATTTTTTACCGGCAAAACTACAGAAACATATTGTACAAGTGAAAATGAAAAAAAAAGAAAACCCAAAAATGTCATTTGAAATCCGATCAGAAAAACCTTATTACAAATTTATAAATAAATTGAATATAAATAACAAAATTCTAAAGAAATTTTAATGTATGATCACTTCATAGTATAGCTATAGCATCAAAAAATTCCAATACTGTATTATTACATCTCCAAAACTGTTTTATTACAGCCGTAAAGATAGGACGGATATCGTAGAGAGAATAAGCAGAATACCATAAATACTAATGCATAATCACTTGACGGTATAACCAGCACCAAAAAATACCAATATTATCTTATTAGATATCCAAAACTTTCTTATTACATTTGTAAAAATAGGATGTATATTGTAGGAACAATAAGAGTAATAGCACAAATATTAATGCATTATTACTTGAAAGAATCGCTAACATAACAAAAAATACCATTGCCAAAAGTAATACCAATACTATTTTATTACAATCATAAAAATAAAATAAATACAATTACTAATGCATGATTGTTTGACAATGCAACACATAAAAATACGAATACCATTAGACAGTTATTGACTCACACCTCTGTATAAACATTTAAACTGCAATACAATTACAAACAAATTTATTGGTCTGCGCAGCAACAAATATGAAAAATGCTGATTCGTATTATACAATTTAATCGTTTTCAAATATATATATTTGTGTTCATATAAATATGAAAAGAAAATAATAATTTTAATAATGAGATTATACAAAGCTAACAACCCCTTTCATCGTTCATCTCGAATAAAAAATATTATTTCGTTTTGCCTCACGCGCATTAAAATGGTCAAGACACGATAATATCTTGCTAAGGTATAATGATGATAATAAAAAGCAATGAAATAACCGATAAGCGGGAGTTGCACCCTCTACGCATTCGCATCGATCGTGTATTGAATTCCGTGTAGTAGCACGCTATCATCCCCACTTTATCATTTTCTGAATACCCATCAAGATCTCTTTTATTACTTTTTTTTCTTTTTAAAAACACATTATTGATCGTCAGACGATTTAACTGAACTTTCAAATTGATATAGATTTTATTTATTGCAAATTAGTATTTTATTTTTAAAGGATTTTAATTAGATATAAATTAGATAAAACAAAAATGAGATCTCACAGGTGATAATTCGTATCATTTAAATTATGTAATGATATAAGATCAAAATATTTACAAATCTACTTGGTTGGCCTTAGCTTCTTGTAATCTTGTTTCAAATAAGTAATACATCGTTAGTAGACAATATTGAATCATTTCGAATATATGTATGTTAGTTACGGATGAAAATGTCTGAAGTTTTAGTAAATGAAAGAAAAATAATTTATAAGTGGCGTACTAGAGATAAAAGTTATAAAAAAATATTGCAAACATTAATTTTACATGACATTAACAGTCGTCGTACGAATCCACTCTTTCCATTCGGTGTGTATAATCACGTACACGTATTATCGATTAATTATTAATCATGCACTACACATATAAGTAATACTGACTTATATATTTGTAATTTTATAAATGTATTATAGATAGTTATTGATAATGTATGTTAAATAAGGATAGGACTTTTTATTTTCAGATGATCCACCAGTGCCGACGTTGTGTGAACTCGCGGCACGATGCGTCGCTTCACATATACCCTTCGAGTTGGTCGAACACGTTTATCCACCGGTGCCGGAACAATTGCAGTTGAGGATAGCTTTCTGGAGTTTTCCCGATAACGAGGAAGACATAAGACTCTATTCTTGCCTTGCAAATGGCAGCGCTACCGAATTTCAACTTGGCGAACAATTCTATCGTACGAGAAATGTCAAGAATCCCTTGCAAATAGGTAAACGTCGTATAACGAAAATGATCTATACACAAAAAAAAAATAATAGATGAAATTCGCGTCGTATATATAAAATGTCTTTAATTCATTTATTCCGATATTTATATTCGTTTGTATGCATTTATTTATTATTGTTTACAATACAAAAGGTTTACCTACCTTTTTCCGTATAACGAATACCCCAACATATTTTTACGAATAAAAAAAAGAGAAAAATAATATACAAACGTAGCATGAGACAAATAGCTTGATATTTGGTTATTCTAATAAAAGTCGTGGATTTGATCCTCCTCGACCTATCTACCGTTGAAATTAATGCTCATTTAATCATTGTCGCAATCACAATGTATAATGAATCGGACAGTCATTCAACTGTATCCATAATTATTGAACAATGACCTCAAGCAGTAAACACAGGTTGTATCAACAAATTAGTTAAATGCTACTACTAATTTGTTCTTGTACTGCATCGAACGAAAACCAATCTATTATTATTTCTTTTTTCTTTTTTTGACTTGTTTTGTGACGTATTTTTTTTTATTTCTTGACTTAGAATATGCTGACATCGTTATGTAGAGAAAGAATTTCTTTTTCTTCTTTTTTCTAAATAATTAGACAATATAAAATTATTCAATGCAAACAATAAAAATATCGATGCAAGTATGTGCATGTATATTAGATTTAATAATATATATATATGTATATATATATAATCTTTTCTATAGGTTTCCACCTAAGCGCCAGCGTGAATCCGTCATTGGTACCTTCATCTGTTTTTAATGTAGCAGTAACTTTTGATCGGCGAAAAATCACATCGTGCAACTGTACTTGTTCCTCCAAGGCTTATTGGTGTTCACACGTAGTTGCTGTTTGTCTTCATAGAATACACATGGTAAACAATTGATATTGATTGTACCATCTTTAAGGAATGTTGCCAAACTATCTATACAAATTTTAACGAAGAATAAGGAAGAGGGCAAACATTTGTTCTTGATAAGTGTATTTCTGTTGAAATCATCTTCCAGTGCCAAGTACGTTTAACGGGATGTTGTGAAGATAATCCGATAACAAATATAAGCTACAGTGGCCAAGTTTAAGCACACAGAATGTGCTTAAAGTTGCGACCATGAACAACGTGGCATGCGCAAGAAGTTGAAAAATTTTCAGAATGCTCTAAAATTTCATAAATAGTTCCAATAGCCTCCTTGTAACGAGGTTTTTAGTGACGTCAATCCGTTCCATTAGTTCGCTTGTTCGGTAGAAAACAAATACACGACTCTTATTATGAAAATCCTCTAGTACTAAAAGGAGACGTCAGTTGGCACAAGTTCGCCAAAATAAAATGTTTGTCTTCTATCTCCCACAAAAATTTGTATAATTTTGCAACATTTTGTATATGAAGATTAAAAGAAAAACGATAAAAAATTTATTAAACATTTTTAGCCGACACAAGTCTGCCTAAGAGCACCAGTTAGCGAATCCCTGTCGCGATTACATCGAGATCAATTGCAAAAATTTGCTCAATATCTTATCAGCGAATTACCACAGCAAATTCTACCCACTGCACAATCACTCTTGGACGAACTATTGTCGGCCCAACCAAATGCCATCAATAGCTATTGTGGTGCTCCTGACCCTACAGCAGGTGCTTCGGCACACGATCAAACATCTTGGTATTTGGATGAGAAAACGTTGCATAATAACATTAAGAAAATTCTTATCAAGTTTTGTGTACCAGCGCCTATTGTGTTCAGGTAAACTTTCTTATAGTTACTATAAGCTTAGTTTCTAATATTTGATCAACAAAATGTTAGTAATTATAGATGCTTTATGGCATGGAACTTTCGGAAAAGCCCAATAAGTAATCATCATTGCTAATACACTTAATTAAAGTCCTATCGAACAACTTTCTTGTTTTTTTTTTTTTTTTTTTTTTTTTGTTAAAATATTTATATTATGAAATGAATGTTCATAATAAAATAATTTCGTAGAATGAACATTGCTTAATGACATTTTACAGCGATGTAAACTATTTGAGCACCACCGCACCTCCAGCTGCTGCCGAGTGGTCATCGCTTCTAAGACCATTGAGAGGTCGAGAACCAGAGGGAATGTGGAATCTGCTCTCAATCGTTCGTGAAATGTTCAAGAGAACAGATCGTAACGCAATTCCGCTTTTAGAGATTATCACGGAAGAATGCATGGCCTGCGAACAAATAATTGTCTGGTGGTTTAACACCAAAGTAGCTTTGTTGAATGGTACAGGACATGGTGGTGGTAAACACGGTAATATGAATAGCAATGTTCACGCATCTCAACATGCATGTTCATCGCTTTGTGATGAAATTGTTGTGTTATGGAGATTGGCTGCTCTAAATCCTGGATTGTCACCAGCCGAACGAGAAATGCTTCATGAACAATTTCTGGCATGGCATATGAAAATTATTGACAAGGTAATATTATTAAGAGTATTTTTATTGAATTACCTGAAAAGTTTGTACGGTGCAATCAATTAAAGCTATTGATTTATTTATTTTCAGGTCACAAAAAGTCGTGGTACATCTGTATCTCATAATTCGCATAATAGAAATAATAGTATTAGTTATAAGGATTCATTGAAAAACGACTTGACTGTCTTTGTCGGCTTCAAAACAGCTCTTGAAGCGTGTTATTTAGATTGGGAAGAATATACTCTGCCAGGGATAACGTACACAGCTGAAAGCAATCCCATGTATCATTGCCCATTTACGTGTTTTAGACATGTTGGCGATAGCAGTAATGAAGTAAATCAGGTTTGTTTATTGTTTCTTTCTCCTTCTGTATGCATATTTTATTTTTCGCAATATATTTTTGAATATGTGTATAATATGAAAATACGTATATCTGTGATAAAGGTGAATTCGAGTTCAGCGGTATTAAATTGTCAGCCACCTATTTCTCATCATCACAGCAGACGACCTCTATCATTAGGTCTCGTAGAATTTAGTTATACGGATAGACGAAGATTGAATCCGCGAGAATTTCCAGGCTTGTGTTCAAGAGGTAGCGGTGGAGATGGAAATCGAAGCAGCGTTAGTTCAGAAGGTTTTTGCGAAAATGATACCGATATGGCCGACATTTCAGAACCTCGGCTATTACGGAGACGTGGATGTACTAGGTTAAATAATTGCGGAGATACAGATTCACAGGTTGATATGATCATTATAATTATTTGAAAGTTATTTTTTTATTGATTAAATTAAAATAATAACGTATGATCATGTTTAATCCTTTAGGAGGGTGGAGGTAGTGAGTCATCATCAAACAGTAACGTCAGTTTAAAAAATGTTGAAGGCACGAATAAACATTGTTCTAATATCTCATCGGAAAGTCAGAGTGATAGCAGTGAAAGTAGTAACAATAAGGCTACTAACGAAGTGAAGTGTAACAGGACGAATTTTGTCGACTATCGTGACAATTCGCGAACAGTATCAACTAAAACAACAAGAACTAAGACTGAGCAAGAATCTGAACAAGAAAATGATGCCTCCAGGAGACAATCAAAAGATGAAAGCTCATCCTCTAGCAGCGATAGTCCTTCTGGTGATGAATATAACGTGTACTATTATGATTCGAAGGCAACACTTAATAATACAGGAACTGATTCGAAAACAGAATCACCTTTGACCGTTGTACCCAGCGCCAATACGTTACTGGGTAATCTTAAAAAAATAGAAGATCCCTGGGGAATATTTCTTGCTAGAGCAGAGGGTCTTTATGCTCATGGACATACAAGAGAGGCTTGTATACTTGGTGTTAAATTAGCTGAAGAATTACTAGCCAATCCTCCAGATTTAATGATCGAAGAACCTCCTCTGCCAACCAAGGGAAAAAAGAAAAAAGTAAAATCCAAAGTAGAGATTTTATTTATTAACAACTTGACTGCCGCGCTAATTTTACATGTATTTTTATTGTAAAGGTTACAGTTTTAACCCTTTGCACTCCAATTACCAATATTACGGGCAAACATCGCTCTTGTTCAGTTATGCTGATAAAAATAAAATGTTTTTTTATACAAGAGTTTCTCTACTTTGTCTAACTAATTGATCAACAACAAAAAATGTGTAGGATACAAAAGGTTAAAATAAGATAAAAAAAATAATCTAATAATACTGGTAACGAGTGACTACCAAGGCTTTAATGAAAAAACAAACGTCGATATTCGTTGACTATCGCGGCAGTCAACATGTTAAACTTCTATCGATTTTAATATATTAGTCAGAGTTGATATTTAATAGATATAAAGTTTCAGCAACAAGTTAATCCAGCATCACATCAACTAACGTGCCTTGCCTCTGCCACTTTGGCTAAATGTTGCTTCTTGTGCACGGTACTCGCTGAAAATCCCGAAAATCACAATCTTGCATTCAGAGTAGGTCTCTATGGCTTGGAAATGGCAAGACCACCAGCGAACACGAAACCTTTAGAAGTAAAATTTATATTTATAAACACAACTTACAGTATTCTCTGCAAGATTATCTTCTATCACATAATTATGTTACCTCTTTTTTTCAGGTCAAACTAGTACATCAGGAAAGCGAGCTCGTAAGTTTGTTAAAAAAAATACCCTTAGGTCCAGCAGAACTGAATATGGTGAGACAGAGAGCAGCGCATTTGCGAGATGGAGTATTACGATCAAGAGGACACGCATTGCTACCAATTATTTTAGCAAGCTTTATATTTGACACTTTAAATACACCGAGTATGTTTACTTTTAACATATATAAGTCTATACATGAATTAAAATTTTTACACATAACTTTTCTATTTTATTTTATTTTAATATATTAATCATATACAGGATAGGCCACCTAAATGTCTCTATTATTTATAGTCTTACGGAAAAAATTGTTAAGAAACAATTACGCTACTTGTATGGAACATATGTAAATTTGTTTTAGACATAATTTTTTAAAAATTAATTATTCTTTTTTCAATGGATTTATATATCTTTCATCATGTTAGTCGATTTATTAGGAATAACATAAGAATGTAATTTATGTTTAGAAAAAAGTTCTAAAGGGTTTTATTTTTTTTTTTTTTTTAAATACTAAAGACCTTGAAATTTCAAAATATTCTCGAAAAAAGAAAAGTTAAGAAAACAAAACAAATATTTACAGGAGGTCCAGAAATTAGCAAAGAAACTGACGAAGCACTCGGTTTCGATGCAGCAGTTGCTGCTTTAGGACTCAAAGCGAACGTGAGTGAAGCAGATCATCCACTTCTTTGCGAAGGAACGAGACGTCAAAGGTACGTTGGTCGTAATTAAAAATTAAGACGAAGATAATAAAGTTATTATTTATTTTTCAATGACTTTACAGGGGTGATTTAGCGATTACTCTTCTTGTACATTACAAGGATGCACCAGCTAAAGTAGCAAGAATAATGAACAAACTTTTGGATCGTGATGTTCATCAATTAATTAAGTCTCCTATTCTTAGTAGTTACTATACTGCTAATCTTATTACCAAGCCCGAGGTAAGAATTTAATATTATTACAATAAGTATTTTTTTTTGTATAATACATTTGAATTAAAAATAATTATAATATATTTTCCAGATGACAAATCATTTACGAGAAGATGAATGTTTGTCGCCTTTAACAGGCACAGACGTTGGAAACAGTGACAACGCTATTGGCAATGGAAGTAGACCACACAGCAGTACTAGTGCAGAATTAGAAAGTAGTATGAATGCATTAACTCTTCAACCACCAATGGTGCAGACTGTACCTACCAGAAATAAAGAAACCAGGTTTGTGTTGCAATGGTAATACTTTTAAATAATATGACCTTATTTTTAACCAATTTTGTATTATTATCTAGGTACAAGAGTAAGCGAATATGTCCATCAATTCCTAATCAACCATCAGAAGCTGGTGCCCATTTTATGTGTGAATTGGCTAAAACTGTGTTAGCTAAAGCAGGTGGTAGTAGTTCCACTTCATTGTTCACTCAAGTATCAACGAATCAAAATCATCACGTACCGCATAGAGCTTTACATATGTGCGCCTTCCAACTGGGCTTATACGCTCTTGGTCTTCATAATTGTGTCAGTCATAATTGGTTGAGTCGTACTTATTCTACTCATGTTTCTTGGATCACTGGACAAGCTGTGGAAATTGGTGCGCCGGCTATATGGTTCCTTATCGAAAGTTGGGAAGGTCATTTAACTCCTCCAGAAGCTGCCAGTATTGCTGATAAGTCTTCCAGAGGAAGTGACCCAAATATGGTCAGAGCGGCCGCAGAATTGGCACTTTCTTGCCTACCACATGCACATGCTCTTAATCCAAATGAAGTACAGAGGGCTATTTTACAGGTAAACTTATGAAATCCTTAATGAAAGTTGAAACAGTTATTTGGCATCTATTTATTAATATTATTAAAATATTCACATTTTACAGTGTAAGGAACAAAGTGATGTCATGTTGGAAAAAGCATGCATCACTGTAGAAAACACGGCTAAAGGTGGCGGTGTTTATCCAGAAGTACTTTTTCAAGTTGCCAAATATTGGTACGAGTTGTACCTCCGTGTAAGTTCTCGATATTACATTAAGCCTTACCTTTATATTTATTATATAAAAAATTAATTAACGTTGTAATTGATTTTTTTTTATATTTAGCACACACCTGGAGGAGAACAACAAGATGAGATGCCACACGATTCTTTACAGTTAGATCTTAACAGTGCCCTTTTAGTAGAACCTGGTCCTACTGTAGATTTATCTGCAGGTCAAATGATACCAGGTCCAACACAGGCTGTCGTTGTAACTAGTACACAACCACCTCCTCAGCCATATCCTGCACATCCCACTATAACGACTCTGGCACCTTTGGGTACAGTACAACAGTATTACAATCACGAAGCACAAATAATACAACAACCAGGTGTTTACATAAAAGTATTTTCTTTTTTTTTTGGCGACATAAGAATAATATTAGTTTTTTTTAAATAACATAAATATTAATTAATATAAAACGTCTAACATTGACGTTATCTGATCGAACGTGTATATAATTATTTACGCATTATAAAATCATTATTCGTAATGCCTTCACGTTGATCACACATTAACTAACAATACATATAACCTTTGTTTCTCTTTCTTTTCAGGAGTTGGCATGCCATATGCGGTAGCCCCCTACAGTTTCGTACATCCGCATCATTCGATTCCAACGTTTGGTGGACCGATGCCTACACATAGAGTAACTCTACCTCCTGCACCACCACACATGCAAATGTATCACACAGCCTTTCCACCTCATCCTAGATGCCCGCAGCATCCTCAACATCCGCAACATCCGCAACATCCACAACATCCGCATCATCCACCGCCAACTGCACAGCCACCTCCAGTGCCGCAATACTACGCACCGCAACCTCCGCCTCCGCCAGGAACGCATCATTTGTTCACCATGCAACAAACCATGCCAGTTAACGTACGCAAATTATTTTTTTCTTTTTCCATTAGATAAACAAACAAAAATTTTAGAAAATTAGTCATTTATCATTGAAAAAAAATTTTTTGTTATTAGGTTCAAGCGGGAGTAACTCATGGTCCTATTCCTGGACAAAATGGTTTGCCTGGACCAGCATTAGTACAGGCTCAACCAATCATCTCGACTGTAAGACCGCAACCACAGGTTAATGTATATTACATTATTTTACAATTATCTCTTTTTTTTTTTAAATAATGCTTTTCTATTCCATTTTTTGTTCCATTAGGTTCATAACCAGAACCAACGATTTAGGCATCAACAATTTAGAGCATTAGTTGCGGCATATCGCGTAGGTATGCTAGCCTTGGAAACATTAGCTCGTAGAGTACACGACGACAGACCCCAGGCTAAATATGCACGAAATCCACCATATGGAGAAGATGTTAAATGGTTGTTTAGAGTTTCAAAACGTCTGGGTTCTCAATATCTTCAGCAATTATGTGTTTGCACGGTGAACAGTATCTTAAGTCCATTTGTTCTTCACGAAGTGGCACTCGAAGCAGCCCATTATCTCTCCAGAAATAATCCAGCACTGGTTTTACAACACTTGAGATCGGCTCCTCTAGCACCGCTCGTACACAAATGTCAACAAATGTAAGTTACGATAAGCTTAACAGCACATATCATTGACGTATCAAAACTATAAATATAATAATCATTTAAATTTATGATAAATCCATAGGTACATTCAGTGCATACATCAGAAACTATATCATTTGGCACTTAATGATTACGAGGACTTTGCCAGCTTAGTTTGTGCGGCAAGAGCAGCATTCCATATAACTCCGGAAGGGCACACGCAATTCAAGGAATGGCTTCAATCTATCAAAAAGTATTAATTACATTAAACAATGAACTACAGAAAAATAATTTTATTTTTATTTTTTGGAGCAACTGTAAAAGAATAAATGATTTCAGATCTAAGTCGTGCAACAAAGAACTATGGGCGCAAATCAATGCGGCGCTACAGCAAAATGGCAAATGACACAGAGCGGAACCAGGTACATCTAGAGGGACATCGATACCACCTCCACCCCATCCAACATCAGCACCAGGTCCTGTAACGATTAATGCCGTAGCATCAACACCTGCACCAGTACCAGCACCGGTACCAGTACCGGCACAAATACCGGCACCGGCACCAGTACCTGTTACGGCTACAGTAGTTCCATCCATATCACCAATTACGACTACAACAACAACGGCCATAGCAATAACGACTACGCATAGCACGTCAAGCTTAGTTGTGCAGCATCAACCTTCTTCTTCCTCTCATCAAGAACGTCGAACGCGTCCACGCATTGGAGGACACCCTCAACCAGCTAGAATTGGACAGGATTTTCATAATGTCTGTCTACGTTCTCCGTCATGGAAACATCGCGTAAGTGGCAACGATAACAAAGGCAACAACATCGGATGCCGTATGAGTTTTCCGTGTGGTTCGCACGACGGAAATCGTTTTAGGATTCTCGCTCATGGAAGATTCATCTCGGATATATTAACACCCGTACAATCCAATTTGATCAATCCACGATGTCCATGATAACATAAGGCAAAATTGCTTACGTTAAATGTTAAAAGAAATATAATGAAGAACGAAATAATGATATAAAAAAAAAGATAGGAAAAGAAAATCTCATATCTAAGGATTATCGCGTGTTAAAAATTATGAAATCGAATTACTTTCAAGATAAAGTAAAACGAAATTCGCACTTATTGTATATGAATTATACTGAACGTATATTGTCGTTCTTATTAGAAAAGAGTAAAGATGTCAACTTAAAAAACACGCGTCATCGTTCGTGTTAAATTGTTTTAATCAAAATTACATTTCTTTAACTCTTCGACTGTGGCACTTCACTTTCGCACGAATACTATCACAATAAACGACATTCCTGGATCTATCCATGTAACGGAATTTCGCACATCGTTTTATGCTCATTTTTTTATCGTTCTACATACGTATTTCGTAGTCAAAGGGTTAAATATTCTCGCGTACAGGCGAGTCTCGCGAATTTGAGAGAAATAAAGAGGGAGAGAGTTATCAAAAACAAAAGAAAAGGATAAAAAGAACGGACATATACATAAACAAATAGATATGAAACGAAAAGTTAAGAAAAAATAATACGGGCGAAATAAAAAAAGGAAAAAGGGAAAAGAAAAAGAAAAAATGAAAATAAAATAAAAAATAAAAATGGCATAATAGAAGAAATACTCCTCGTTTTTTAGTTAGATCGTACATACGATTGTCCTTTAGTCGCAATTAGATAGGAAATTTTTATTTTCGAGACTCATTATTATAGATAGAACGAATTTTTCTCTCTTATTTTATTTTTGTAATCGATTAAAAAAAGAAAGAAAAAAAGAAAATTTTAATATCGACGATAATGCCTATTTATATAACTGTAATAGAAAAAAAAAAAGTAAAAAAAGAAAAAAGAGAAAAGAAAAATAACAGAACGTTTATCCAGATAAGGATATATATTTAAATATTTCTTCAAACACACATTTAATGGAGAATTTTTATAGTCGTTAAAAATAAAATTAAACTAAGAAGAAAATAAAAGAAAATAAAACATTCGGATCATCATAAATCAGTCGGGAAACTGATGATCTCTTTCAGCCAATTGTTCTCGTACTTTGATTGGCCTATTTTTTGTTTGTTTCTTCCCTAGTAGCACAAAATATTGAAAAATATTGAATACATATGTATTTCATATTAAAAAGACATTATGAATCTTTTTTTAATATTAAGTACGCATGTATTCAATAATTTTCAATATTTTATGCTACTAGGGTTAATTCTCACTCATTACTTGTAATTATTATTTTTATCATTATTATTATTATTATTATAATATGTGGTATTTTAATTTTACCTTTATTTGTTATTATTTTTCTTTTCTTTCTTTTGTTTTTCTTTTTTTACTATATCATAGACTTAAAATATATATATATATATATATATTACACGCAGTTCTGCAGCATAATAATTCATCATTGTCTGTTGTCGATTAAAACACGACAATCCGTAAACGAAAAAAAAATGATCTCTGTAATTTTTAAATTTAAAAATAATTTGAAATATACGATAATAAAGGAACAAAGAGTTTATAGCTGACATATCACCTACAAAATTTGAGCCACCCACCCAAAATTTACACGCCACAGTAAAAACTGATAACATTCTAATGGTTCTGTTTTTTTTTTTTTTTATTCTTCTATAAAATCCCTCATTATTTTCTTCTAACTTAGAAATATAATTACGATAAGCTTTAAGATTCTAATTGTTTTAAGAAATTAATCGTATAAACTTTTTAAAATCAATATGAAACGCATTTGATATTTTTCGGAACTGATTTGGACGAATTTTGGAGAAAAAATAATTTTTAGTGGCTCCTGAAAGAAAATGAAAAGAAGAAATACTTAACATTAACAAATTAGATTCACGCATACACACCACACATACGCTAAATGAATGAGTTAAATTCGCATCATCGTTAGCTATAGAAGAACGAATAGAGAAACAAAAGAAAAACATAGAAACTGAATAATCATAAAATAAAAGATAGAATTATTAATTTGTCACTTGTCACTTTGTCATTTTAAAATTCGGTAGCCCAAGTGGATTATTAAGATTAAGTAATCGAAAATAATCGATAAACAAACCCAAAAAAAAAAAGAAGACAAGAAATAAAATAAAATTACCCTACTCGAGATAAACGGTAAGAAGGAACAGAGAGATTTATTTTCAATATGTAAAAATGAAAAAAAAAAGATGAGAAGAAGAAAAAGAAGAAGAAGAAGATGAAGTTTAAAAAACAATGCTGTACTTTTATGAATAAATAAATATTCGCACGCCCCCCCCCCAATCCCCTCGCGAATATGCTTTAAGTGTCGCGTGGACGTTGGATATAATTAATAAATATATGTAATATTATTATTGTTTTTAGTATGAACTCTAAACAGTGCCTCGTCGAAATCTATATAACAAAGAAATAAAATTAATGAAAGAAAAAAAAAAGAAATACAAGCAAATAGTAATGGAAAAAAAAAAAAATACATAAAATTCTCACAAATACTAAAAATAAAGAAAAAGAACATTTTACGCAACAGAAAGAATTCTATGAAAAGGACGATTCTCTTATCGTCCATTGGGGAGTGGGAAGTAATGATGAAAATAAAAAAAAAAATAAAAAGATTAAGAAAAAAAACTCGTCTTAAAAATTATATTATTCTATATCATTCGCCGGTGTTATTATAAAAAAAAAAGTACGCTGTTTTATCATTAAGAAGGATTTAGAAATTACGTACGCGATTACATATATAAATATAAATATATATATAAAAGAGTAAATGTAAACCATATTAATGTTTTTAAATCTCTTGAAAGACAGTACGCAGAATAATTGAAGAAAAAGATAAGGAGAGAAAATGTTGCGCGTGTATGTATATGTGTGTGTATGTGTGTGACTATATGTAGGATATCAGAAGTTTTTTCTTTTTTGACAAAACGGTATTAGCGTATTCTATGCATGAATATCAATCGAAAAGAACTGATATTCTTTTACTAGAAAATCTGCGTTAATTTAAGCCTTACAACAGTTCAAGTATTTCCGTCGCGCAAACCATTCTCGTAACAAATGTCTGCATATTCTTGGCTTGAAAATATTTTTACCATTTATAGCATAAAAAAAGGTAAACACACATAATCGAATTTAAGAATAATCACGTTGCTGAATAAACGTGAACATTTACAATTGTGAAATCATAACTTTTAAATGATATACCTTTATTTAACATTTATATTTTATTTTCGTGTATAAAATATGCTGATATCGAAATAACTCCAGGCACCCTGTATATCAGTGTTTCCCAAAATTTGTTGTCCTATCGCCCCCTTTCCTCTGAAGAAATTGCCTCTTTCACCCTCTTGAAAATTTAATTTTTTGGTGACTTTTTTTTAATGCACACCCGACCCCCAATTTTCACCGTGATCGTGTCAATCGTCCCCCTCAACCGCTTCATCAACCACCAAACCAACCCACAGGCGCGACAAAAAAACCTAAAGAAGGGAATTTCTTACTAATATTTTATTTTGCCTTTTTAGTACTTCATTTCCCCCATCCCCAAAGTTCACCTGTGGTCGTCATCGCCCCCCTAAACCTCTTCATCACCCACCAGAGGGCGATATCGCCCATTTTGGGAACCACTGCTGTATATTAAACAAAGGACTACATGAAAAATAATATAAACAGCTCGTGTAATTCTTTGTTCCTTTTAACGTTTATTTTCTTTTATAATTAAGTTTCTTTATTTTCTTTTGAATTTTTCAATTCCGTTGATAAAATGATCTCATTATAACATAAAATATGTATTTAAGGAACGTTCATTTTGTGAATGTATGTTGTACGACGCGTATTTTACGTAGAATCGATGATAACGTTATCCATAGCGAATAATAATTAACTAAGTATTCTAAGTAGCCTACTTTATTAGTAAACTCTTTATCGAAACATTATAATCTGCAATTTTAACTGTATGAAAGATTTAACGATAATGATAACAAAGAATGATTAAGAAAAGAGAGACACGAAGAATTCTATAAACACACACACATTATAGAGGTGCATAATATGACACGGAAAGTCCTCACGTAGATCGCTAGCATCCTATTTATTTCTCTGTCGAACATAACATATATTCATATATTGTACATTTACACAACGTGACCAACATAAAGCGTTATAAATTGTTTTTTTATTTATTTAAATCATTGCAGTAATAAATTTCAATGGGTTTCTAATTTTCTTTTTTTTTTGTGATCACTAATACAAGAAAATCGAATTGTTCGATTGAAAGATAGTCAAATTATTTTGTACTATTTGAATAAAAATAAAAACAATTTATAAGACTTTATATAGGTCATCCGTTGTATGTGTGTTTATAAAAGGTATCTAGTTGTATGTGAGAACAATCCACATTTGGTATACTTGCTACATACAACCAGACACCCCTGTATGTACAGTGTATCCCGACTTGTTTCCGTATAACAATACAAGGGAACATTATTAATATTAAGAACATTAAAAGAAAAGATCTACCAGACAAAAATTGATAAGTGTAAAAAATGCATTGAAAGAATACGTGCTGCGATCACCTAAGTAAAAAAAAGAAATCAACAAGAAATAAAAAAAGTAATCAATCTATTCTTGTACAATATCGAACAAAAATTAGTCCCATTGTTATCTCATACTTTTGCTATAATTTTTGAACGAAACTATTTGTTTCTATATTATTTTTCTCTTATTTTTACTCATAGAATACGTTGGTATCGTTATACGAAGAAAAGTCAGGATATCCTGTATAATATAATATAAATACATATATATATATATACATATATATACTTATAACAGATAAGTAAATACTATATGTGCATTTGAATATACATAAATATAGACAAATTTACGAAAGAATGAGAAAGTATCGTTCGAAGTAAGTAAATAAGTATCCATGTATTAATTTACGTGTATCGTTCGAGTCTGTGAACAAAAAAAAAATATATATATATATAAATATATGGAATGCAATCTCACAGTACATAAGTGAGAAAATG